TTAAGTATTTATGGAGTGTAAGAGCATAATAGTAGCTCTATATAGTAACAGTCATTGTGTGTTTTTTAACCTTTCTAAGATTTCATTTCTGTACAAATGAGTTCTGTGAAATTATTATGGCCAAAATACCAGAGTTTGTCTTTCACTCAATTTATCTACAGTTCATAAAAATGCTTAAATATTACTTCATCATCCTTAAATTTGCCTTTCAGTATGTGAAATCTATGAACTAATTCTTGAATATTTATGAAGTAATTCTGATTTTTGCAGGTGTGGCAAGCCCTTAGGAATATTTAGCTTAATTTGGAACAGGATTCTCTATTTTTTACTTGATTTTTCATTTTTAAAAACCAAATTACAGTAAATCCATCTACATATAATATTTTTGTATCTTTCTCTAGTAGTTTGGTTAGACATAAGAATCCTCAGAGTTTATGATATCCTGATTGAAGTGCTAAGAGAATTGTTTTATAAGTAATGTATATCATTGTGTATACATTATGTATCCCCTCAGTTAACATTCTGTTTTACAGAATGCTTGGGATCAGCAGTCACAGTTAATAAAGAACTAATGAAGAATACCCTTTCTTGACTTTATTGTTGTCAAGGAAAGTATTTTATAGTTTCTGTTTATTTCTATGAGAGTTATCTGTTTCTGAAAGAACCATTATGAGTTCAATACTTTAAGATACTTTACAGTATGTTCATTGTGGTATGATCATGGTGATATGCCACCAATTGATAGTTGAACCAGACAGAACTTAAATCTTTTATGCTAACATAATGTTAGTCTTAGGTGGTTTAAGTTTCTCCTTCAGCAGATTTGTGCCCATAAAATTATTTGTCTTAAAATGAATAGAGCAGATGTTTGGTTGATAATGAATCCCATAGGATGCTCTCTTACCTTGTTTCTTAAGGTAGGGTCTGGGGATCAGCAACATCAGCATTGCTGGAGAGGTTGTTAAATGGAGAGTCTTGACCAATGCCAGATTACTTAATCAGAATCTGCATTTAACAGATTCTCAGATGATTTGTGTATACATTAAAGTTTGAGAAGGCCTCCTGTAGAAGACATAAGACTTGGCATCTGGACAAGGAACAGACACTTCTGTATTTGAGGTTGCAAGGGTATAAAGATTTAGGAATTATTTCTTAGAATAATGAAACAAATGTTTCCCCTTTAAAGTACATTTCTCTTTAGGATTATCCTTTTTTTTTTCCTGGAATAAAATGTGTCTAATGCAGTTCTTTACTTTTATACTTTCATCTTACCTACTGAAGAAGATAAACTTTACTTCTTCCATACCAAATGAGCAAACCTAGTTATTGTTAAGTCTTCCCTAAGGTAGTGGCATCCTCTGGATTTGCATGAAACTGAATCTTGAGAAAGGAGATGGAAAACTGAGGCCCTGATGTTAGAATGGCCTTGCATGTATCATCACTTATTTTTCTTGTTTTTGTGATGCCAAGGATTCAGACATACTTTATTTCCCCCTAACTGAAGACTAAATATGCCCACATGTCTGCTGTGTGCAAAATCATACAGTAGATCAGACCTTTCCTCAGAGAGTTTACAGTCAGGGAACTATTCTTGAAAGTCAGGCAGTCTACCACCTGCAGAGCTGTGGTATTCTGGGATATGGCCGAAACTTCCCTGGCTGTGTTTAAAACGGAAATAAAGCACTTATTTCAGGCAGCTACACGTTTTCTGTTAAAGTAAGTAATGTCCTAGTGTATCAGTATACTTAAGGGGAGTTAGAATCTAAAGCAAAAACCAAAGAAATGTAAATGTCTAGATGGACCTTCTCCTAACAGACTTCATGTAATATTTTTTGAGGCACACTCTACCTCTGGATTTTTCAATATGCTTGAAGTAAAAATCTTTTCCTTTCATTGTGTCTCCACTATTTCAGAACTCCCTTCGATGTTGCTCAACTTCTAAGGTGGCCCTAGGAACTCACTGACTTTTCTGGGGATTGCCTGAGTGTGTCATTTAAAAAACTGTTTAGCCAGGGATCCCTCAGTACAAATGAAGTCTTGCTCAGTGGTATGGGCAATAAACTACACAGGAGGAGCGGGTCTTGTTGAGTCTGGGGTTGTGCCTGACTCTTTTATGCATTCTGGGGGTGGGGGTGAGGGTGAGAATCTTGGGTTCTGGGGCACAGTTTATTTTTATTTTTATTTTTTTTAAAGATTTTATTTATTTATTTGACAGAGAGAGATACAATGAGAGAGGGAACACAAGCAGGGGGAATAGGAGAGGGAGAAGCAGGCTTCCCACAGAGCAGGGAGCCCGATGTGGGGCTCGATCCCAGGACCCTGGGATCATGACCTGAGCCGAAGGCAGACGCTTAACGACTGAGCCACCCAGGCGCCCCCCTGGGGCACAGTTTAAAAACCAGTACTCAACACCCAAAAAACAAATAAGTCAAAAAATGGTCAGAAGACATGAACAGACAGACACTTCTCCAAAGAAGACATACAAATGGCTAACAGACACATGAAAAAATGTTCATCATCATTAGCCATCAGGGAAATTGAAATCAAAACCACATTGAGATACCACCTTACACCAATTAGAATGGCAAAAATTGACAAGGCAAGAAACAACAAATGTTGGAGAGGTTGTGGAGAAAGGGGAACCCTCTTACACTGTTGGTGGGAATGCAAGTTGGTACAGCCACTTTGGAAAACAGTGTGAAGGTTCCCCAAAAAATTAAAAATAGAGCTACCACCATACGATCCAGCAATTGCACTACTGGGTATTTACCCCAAAGATACAAATGTAGGGATCCGAAGGGGTACGTGCACCCCAATGTTTATAGCAGCAATGTCCACAATAGCCAAACTGTGGAAAGAGCCAAGATGTCCATCGACAGATGAATGGATAAAGAAGATGTGGTATATATACACAATGGAATATTATGCAGCCATCAAAAGGAATGAGATCTTGCCATTTGCAACGACGTGGATGGAACTGGAGGGTGTTATGCTGAGTGAAATAAGTCAGTCAGAGAAAGACATGTATCATACGACCTCACTGATATGAGGAATTCTTAATCTCAGGAAACAAATTGAGGGTTGCTGGAGTGGTGGGGGGGGGAGGGATTGGGTGGCTGGGTGATAGACATCGGGGAGGATATGTGCTATGGTGAGCACTGTGAATTGTACAAGACTGATGAATCACGGATCTGTACTTCTGAAACCAATAATGCAATATATGTTAAGAAAAAAAAAAAGAAGAAGATAGCAGGAGGGGAAGAATGAAGGGGAGTAAGTCAGAGGGGGAGACGAACCATTAGAGACGATGGACTCTGAAAAACAAACTGAGGGTTCTAGAGGGGAGGGGGGTGGGGGGATGGGTTAGCCTGGTGATGGGTATTAAAGAGGGCACATTCTGTGTGGAGCACTGGGTGTTATGCACAAACAATGAATCATGGAACACTGCATCAAAAACTAATGATGTAATGTATGGTGGTTAACGTAACAATAAAAAAAATTATTAAAAAAAAAAAAATAGAGCTACCCTATGACCCAGCAATTGCACTCCTGGGTATTTACCCCAAAGACACAGATGTAGTGAAAAGAAGGGCCTATGCACCCCAGTGTTCATAGCAGCAATGTCTGCAACAGCCAAACTGTGGAAAGAGCCAAGATGTCCTTCAGCAGATGAATGGATAAAGAAGATGTGGTCCATATATACAATGGAATATTACTCAGCCATCAGAAAGGATGAATACCCAACTTTTGCATCAACATGGCTTGGACTGGAAGAGATTATGCTGAGTGAAATAAGTCAAGCAGAGAAAGTCAATTATCATATGGTTTCACTTATTTGTGGAACATAAGGAATAGCTTGGAGGACAATAGGAGAAGGAAGGGATAAATGAAGGGAGGGGAATCTGAGGGAGAGATGAACCATGAGAGACTATGGACTCTTGAGAAACAAACTGAGGGTTTTAGGGGGGGCGGGGGATGGGTTAGCCTGGTGATAGATATTAAGGAGGGCACATACTGCATGGAGCACTGGGTATTATATGAAAACAATGAATTGTGGATCACTACATCAAAAACTAATGATGTATTGTATGGTGACTAACATAACATAATAAAATAAAATTAAAAAAAAATCAGTACTCTAGAGTGAGAACACTGCAGTGACTTCTGTTAACCTAAAGACCTGCAGTAGCCTCCCTTGTTAATATACACAAGGAGATATTTTTTTATGAAACTTTTTTCCTGTTTTCTTTAATTCTGATTTTTATCCAGGATTATAAGGTTTGATTGTCTTGCACAGGTGACCCAGAAATCTTTGGGGTAGGGGACAGCTGCTTATAGTCAATACATGTGAAAAGTCTTAAGTTTGTGGGACTTGGGACAAGACACAGAAACGCAAAGATGCGTCCCAGGAATGTATAGTTTTCTTTTATATAGTTGGCAAGCATATTATTAATACGGCAGAGAAAGGAGGTGGCCATCAATTTCTCACAAGCAAGGAATCGTAAAAGAAAATTATAGCATAGTATACTTCAAGATTGTGATGGCCATTCTCTTTATTTATTGTGCTGAATATATTACTTTTAGAAATCTGTATATAATATTTTTAAAAATACTAATAATCACATTTATTGGCTCACTTATGCCATAGATTTTTTCCTTTTACAGATTTTCAATCATGAACTTAAAACTGGAGATTAAGGGGACACTGTGATACACTATTTTATATTAGTTGGTGTTTTTTCTTTCTCCCTTAGGCATGCTAGGCTTATTATTAGAGAAAAGCAATAAGACACCTTTTGCTCAGGATTTTTCAGTAGAAAATACATTTTGACTTGAACAGGGTTTTAGTGGCAACTTGATAATAGATAATTTTAGGAGTTTGCTGAATTATGTATGATTTATGAATTATGAATTATGTATGTATTGAGAAGTGCTATGTGGTTATATCGAATTGTGACGCCCTGTGCTCAGTGAGTGCTCATGCCCTGTTTGCCCTCCAGGAGAATGACTCAGGCACTTTGGACACAGTGGGCGCTGTAGTGGTGGACCACGAAGGGAACGTTGCTGCTGCTGTCTCTAGTGGAGGCTTGGCCTTGAAACATCCAGGGAGAGTTGGACAGGTAAGTAATTATGGGGTTTTTAAACGCTCTTTTCAATTTAAAACAGGGAATTTTCTAGCTCACCATTTTTTTAAGCCAGCAAAGCATTTTTTCTTTTGAAAAACAAAATTACTGTGATTTTTTTTTTTTTAACATTGATGTAGTACAAATCAGCAAGTACCTTTTCCAGATTCTAAAAAACCTGTCTCATAGTAATAGAGTTCTTATTGATCTTTAAAATCAGTAATACTATGTTTTGTTACTTCCAACAGGCTGAGTATTGGGTATTTAGTAGACATTAAAAAAAATATGAGTTGATCTTCATTTTCTTTCTTTGCAAATGTCATTCTCTTTAGGAGTAAACACTACCTGACTATATTGTTGCTTGCTTTTTAAGTGGGAAATGATTTTAGAGTTACATTGTGTATTTCCTCCATTCAAGGAATAGTAAAATTTTGATGCTCTAAATCCCTCTTCTGGTTAAGCATTTTAGCTATTTTATAGACTAACCAGTATTTCAGGTCACCAATAATACATGATACCATGCAAGAAATCTAATTTATGTGTAACTGGCATATTCCCAGTTCACTTGCTCATCTTCACCACTCCTCCTTCCCCCATCTCCAAACTTTAGTTTTGTACTGAGAATATTTCACAGTCCATTTGATCTAGTAAGCTTTCTGAGCATAAACCAATTTGGTACATTACTTACGGGATTAATAAATATTTGTTGAGTGAACTAATGATTCCTGGAGTAGGTAAAGTAGTTGCAAGGGTTGTGCTTAAGCTGAGTACTTAGATCTCGTGTTACATGCAGAGCACTGCTTGGCGTATTTTGTATGCTTTGTCTCTCACATTTGGAAAAAAGTGGGTATCACATATCACTATGCTTTGGACATAGTGGTTAATGAATGCTTGGAGCAGAGTGATCTGATTCATGGAGGACATCTTTGCAAAGCTCCAAGTGATATTCCCTGATCTGCCCTTTATAGTGTATAAGCCTCTTACAATGCCATGGGGGGATGGGGTAGGGAAGAATAATTTTGTGCTACTCTTTGCCTGCCATACAGGGGGATTTATGGGGAATGATTACTCAACATGTGTACAATGCTTTGAAGTCTAAAAAGCCTTTGTCTGGTCATGGTGTTTTTCCACATTATAAAGCCCTGTGTATTTGTCAAGTTTGGAATAAGAACCAAGCTTGGCATATCAGATTTGGATGCCTTGGTGGAGGAGAGAGAAAAACCAGCATAGCCGCCTTCATTGCCTTGCAATTCCCATGACTTTCTCACTGTTTTTTTTTGTTTGTTTTGGTTAGTAAAATAGCAACAAGAGAACCAAGGATAGTTCTGGACTATGTTAGCAGGATATTACGTTGAACAATCTTGAAGCCATTCCACATGGGACTGTCCTGGAAAAGGAATACTTCTATAAAACTTAAACATATTGATTTTGCCCCTCTTAGCTAGTTTATGAAGACACAGTTTGTGAGAGATAAAAATCAGGAAAGGGCGTGGTGGATAGGAGTAAAGGTACTTACCAGGAAAATGCATTTGCTTAATTGGATTATATTGCTTAGATAGAGGAGATACAATGAGCCTAGAAATATGAAAGCATCAGTTGACAGTAAGAAACCATTCTTCTTGATGATCAAGAGGGAAGGAAACAAAATATACAAAGTATTGAAAATGATGACTTCTTAAATGACTTTTTAAAAAATACGCTAAAATTAGAAGCTTTTATTTTTTAAATTTTTTTCTTTAAATTTTTTTATTGTTATGTTAATCACCATACATTACATCATTAGTTCTTGATGTAGTGTTCCACGATTCATTGTTTGTGTATAACACCCAGTGCTCCACGCAGAACGTGCCCTCCTTAATACTCATCACCAGGCTAACCCATCCCCCCACCCCCCTCTCCTCTAGAAGCCTCAGTTTGTTTTTCAGAGTCCATCATCTCTTATGGTTTGTCTCCCCCTCCGATGTCCCCCCCTTCTAAAATTAGATGCTTTTAAATACATTTTAAATGCACAAGTGAAATGTTAAAAAGTCTTAGCGTATTACCCTGCTCTAGACATACAATAACAACTGTTCAGATGGTGAAGTGGCATTTGAATTAGAATTTATTTTCTTGGCTTACCAACAATAGTTAGAATTTACAACTGGGACACGAGAAAGGAATTACTACATTCCACTCTCCCTCTACCTGCAACTCAGCCCCACATAAATACACAGTTGAGTTTAGTGGTTAAGAGTGTGAACTTTGGATTCAGGTAGACCTTTAGTCTAATCTCACCTCTCCCTTACTGTAAACAAGTTGTTCAATGTCTTTAAGCTCCACTTTCCACAACTGTAAAATGGGTATAAATGGTTACCTTAGAAGATTAAATGATGTAGTGTATTTAAATTGCTTATCACAGTCCCTCATAATATAGCTATATTATTAGCTATAACTACTGTTTATTAATCTCTTGCTATGTGCAGCAAGTGTGTTCATTCATGTGATCCTACAGCAACATTATGAGGTGGGGGTTTTTGTTATGCTCATTTTATAAAGGAAAACAAGTGCCAAAGAAGATTAAATAATGATAATAATAATAGTATTTATATGATCTATTTTTAATGAATGTTAATACCTTTGTTAAATGTTAATGAAGTTTTACTACTGAAAAGAAGGAAGCTTATTTTATTTTTGTTTTTTAAGATCTGCTTAAGGTTGTTATTTTTTTAAAAAGATTTATTTATTTATTTTAGAGAGAACAGGAGGAGGGGCAGAGGGAGAGAGAGAGAGAAGCAGACTCCTGGCTGAGCATCTCACCATCCTGAGATCATGACCTGAGCCAAAATCAAGAGTCAGACGCTTAACTGACTGCGCTACCTAGGCACCCCAAGCTTGTTATGTTTTATCCAAAGAAATGATAAGAGAGGGACATTCTCTGAGTCTTTCTTTTACCTGACCCATCACTGTCTCAGCTCAACTGATTTCAGAAGATTAAGAAGGGAGACAACTTTAGATCATGAAATTGAGGAGAAGTAGTATAAGGGGAATTTGCTTAGAAGAAACAAAGAGTAAGTGTTCTTTCTTTTCTAAAAAAAAGAAAGAAAAAAATGACCTCCTTTAGGTTTCTTAGAGGCGTCCTTGTGGCCCTATTCGCTATTTTTGAGTGCAGGCTCCTGGTCAAGATAATTGTGGGGAATGGAAAGGATAGTGGACTAATGTCCAGGGTTTTCAGTGAAGGAAAAATAGGCCCTTCCCCTCAGGTTGCATGTTCTCTGAGGCTTTGGCTCACCTAGCACCTGTCCCAGGTGGTACCAGTTGAATGGCATATCCCACAAGTTTGCCAGTTTGGTCCTGAAATCCATGTGCTGAATCCCTTCTGTAGGGCTTTCAGTTCCCACTCTGACCCAACAATCTTGTATAAGGCAATTATTTCAAAGGCAATAATAGATTTTATGCTGTTTGCCATATTGGGAATGTTGTACTGAGTTCTTGGTTCTACTTATAAGAAAGCTATTGTCAGTGACAACTGGGGATGGCAACTGTGGGTCACATGAGCATGGGAGACTTCATCTCCAATTATCTTGAACTTTGGATTATTTCTCAAGGAGGGTGATTAGGGAAGTAGGGTGTGTGTGTGCATCTCAAAGTCTTGAAGAACAGTTCACAAATCTAGGATTATCTGAGTGAGAAAAGAGTAATCAGGGCACTCGGATAGCTGTTTTAAAAAATTTAGAGAACTTCAGCAGGGAGGGTAAAGTAATTCCAGAGAGTAGAACCAGGATTAGTGGGTGGAAGCTTTGATAAGGCAGATGTTCGTTAAAAAAATCTAAGGAAGAACTTTTAGCCAAAGGCAAGTGTCCAAAAGGGGAATATGTTCCCTCATGAGGTATCGAGGTTCTTGGTATCAGAAGTGCCTGGGATATTTCATGGAAATTCCTGCTCTGGGTAGAATATTGAAGCAAATGAGTTCTGAAGTCCTTATAAAAAAGAATGGAATATTGTAGAAAACTGGTCTGTCTGGTCACCATTCTCACTCTTAACTTCTCCCCCAGTCCTTAAAAGTGACCTCCTAGAAAAGAACAGTTACTATTTTATGGGAATATCTTTTTCCTTCATCAGTCAGAAGTCATACTGAATACTTAGTGTATTGTAGCTTGTCTTCTTCTTCTTCTTCTTCTTCTTCTTTTTTTTTTTTTTCTTTTTACCCAATAATATGTTTGGAGATCTTTTTAAAAAATTTAATTCTTTATTTTGAACCTCTGCAATGAATTCCACATTTTGCTGGGTCAGTGTTTAGCCTTTTCTTTACTAATGGACATCTGTGCTTTCAGTTTTCCGTTCTCACCAAACTTGTGGTGGTGAATATTCTTGAGCAGACTTCCTTGTATTTCTCCATGCTAGCTATCAAAGGGTTTTTCTAATTCTGCTTCTAACTAAGGACTGGAAAAGTTTATCAGTTTCGGTTCCCCTCCCAAAGGCAGAGAAGTCATTGTGGATATTGAAGAGATGAATCCAGACATTCTGGGTGGCATTATTAAAAACAAAATAGGGATGATTGTTATATTCTTTTATAAAACCACAGTAATTTGTGTTATTGGTGGTTTCAGGCATATAAATCTGTTCTACTGTCTCATAAAGTAATTAGCTTGAATTGATCTTTTTGGCTCCTTTCTTTATATCTGGAGAATCTGACACAGTGGTGAGCATATACTGGGCCCTTCGGTAGTAACTCTTTGCAGTTCCTTTTGTGCCATTTTAAGGGAGGCATGGCAGAAGCTCTTCTAAACAGGGTTTCTTAGAATATGCCAGGAGAACCACCTGCATCCCATCCCCCCTGGAGCCCTGGTTAATAATGCCAATTCCTTGGGCAACCCCCAGACCACTGAATCAGAATATCTGGGAAACCACGGTCCTATCACCAAGCTTCTCAAGCAATTTGACATATACCTGATTTGAGAATCCCTATTTTAAGGCAACCACAATGATTTTAAGGAGCCAGAAGAGAGGAGTTTTTCCAAACTGTCTGACAAACTACAATAGGGGAAAGGTTGTTCAAGGAAGGAAAAAACTACTGTTGATGAGAGTCTAGGAAACTTTCTTTTGCTGTTTTCTATTAATAGAAAAAAACTGTTGATGAGAGTCTAAGAAACTTTCTTTTGCTATTTTCTATATAATAGAAAATTACTATTTGCTATTGATACAGTAGTTGAAAATATAGTTTAAAATAGTGTTAGAACCATTGTTTGGATAGGTCTTACACAGTCTCTGGTATTATTTCCCAGTTGATATGCATCATTATTAAGTCAGGCTTTATTAGATGGGTATGATTTTGTCTTCTTTTGAAAGCAAGTAATTACATATAATATTTCTGAAATACATTGTGTATCTGTTTTCTCTTTTCCCAGGCTGCTCTTTATGGATGTGGCTGCTGGGCTGAAAATACTGGAGCTCATAATCCCTACTCCACAGCTGTGAGTACCTCAGGTATTTGCTGCTTTCATGACCATTTTTCATAACTGCAACATTGTAGGTCATTTAATGATTGAAAACAATATTTTTATGTAAACATAAAGCATGTGCTGAGACACTGCATAGACAAGAGCATTTATGCATGAAAGATCTTTGATATGTAGGCGCTTTTAAGGATTGTTTCACAATATCAGTATCCCAGTGTAAATGTTTTGCTAACATTTCATTACAACTCTGGAGTTAACTATAACAGTTATATTTTTGATGTTTTTTTTCCTCTAGTGACTCATGATAGTGCCAAATTTGGATTACAAAAGATATAAAAGTAACAAGGTATTTCAAAAAGTTAGGTAATCTCCTGAGTAAAATGTTGGGGCAGAAAAATATAAGGTATATTTCAAAATGTATATTTATATATATACACACACACACACACACACATACATATATATCTTTAAACATTTTATTTATTTGAGAGGGAGAGTGCATAAGCATGGGGAGGGCAGAGGGAGAAGGAGAAGACCCCATTGCACAGAGAGCCCCCGTGTTCCTATCCCAGGAACCCGAGATCATGACCTGAGCCGAAGTCAGATGCTTAACCAACTGAGCCACCCAGGTGCCCTCAAATTGTATATATTATGACATCTACTCCTCTAACTACATTTTTAATTAAATGTAGGTCCTCTTTTTGTATCTGTGTTAGAAGTCATTATCATTCATCCTTTCTGATAGCTGAGTAATATTCTGTTGTATATATGTACCACATCTTTATCCATTCATCTGTTGAGGGCATCTTGACTCCTTCCATAGTTTGGCTATTGTGGACATTGCTGCCATTTGCATCGACATGGATGGAACTGGAGGGGATTATGCTAAGTGAAATAAGTCAAGCAGAGAAAGACAATTATCATATGGTTTCACTCATATGTAGAACATAAGGAATAGAGTGGAGGACCACAGGGGAAGAGAGGGAGACAAATCATGAGAGACTCTGGACTCCGGGAAACAAACTGAGGGTTACATAAGGGAGGAGGGTGAGGGGATGGGGTAACCGGTTGGTGGGTATTAAGGAGGGCACGTGTTGGAATGAGCAGTGGGTGTTATACACAACTAATGAACGTTGAACACTACAACAAAAACTTATGATGTAGCCATTTCACATGGCTAATGGAACATAATAAAAAAATAATAAAAAGAACAATTAAAAAAAAACCCAAATCACATTACTACCAAAAATAAGAAGTCATTCTCATTTAGAAATTGTGTGTGTGTGTGTGTGTGTGTGTGTGTGTTGGGGGCAGCTAATGGGCAGAATGGTTGTTGTCTAGATCCAGGTTTTCATATGCTTGTGCCAGGTGTACTTGAAGTCTTTTCTCTCAATGTGGTGGTATGCGTGGTTGACAAAATAACATTGGTTCATCCCCTTTGCTGTGTTATCTCTCAAATTACAGTCGTAAGCCTTTCTCCTTCATATCATCAGGCTTTATCAGGAGGATGGATATGACTGCCTTTCCTTCCTTTCTTCAGTTTCTTGCCACATTGGTTTCTGTATCACTATACTAGCAAACCATCCAATCCAACACAGCCCTATTTTCCTGCTTGCTCTTGACTCTGTGATCTCTGATACAGGTGGCTCTCTCCTTTCTATTATAGCATAGATCCTGGAACTCTCTTGGTTTGTCCTGCTCCTCTGATCTGCTCCATCCTGGCCTTCTTCACAGACTCTTCCCATTGCTACCAACTCCAGGGTTGGGCCTCTCTTAGCTTTTCTTCATTTCACTATATGCTTTCTCTTGGTGATTTGGTGTTATTGCTGTTCTCATGATCTTAGCAGTTATCTCTTATGGTATTTGCTTCCATGTCTATCTCTTCTGGACTTTTCTTTGGAGGGCCACACGAGTTTCTTCCGATTTCCTGTTGGACATGTCCCTTTAGGTATCATCTGTGCATATCAGATTCAGCAGGCTCAATGAAATACCTTATTCATTATTCCCATCCCTTGGCCACCAAATTTCTCCTGTGTTCCCTCTCTATTTTATTGCCATCACTATCCTATTCTTTGCTCAGACTTGACCTCTTGGTACCATTTTCATATTTGTTGCTTCTATCCATTTCCTTACATCAGTGGAAAAAATAATTGTGTGCCACTGACCTATCAGGTGAAGTCCAAACACGAATTAATGTTGAACCTTAACCATACTAATTATAATTGGCAAAAAATTGATTTTCATTTTTTCACTTTTGAAGAGATGAGTATAATATAAAATATGAGTTAATTTTTAAAAAATATTTTATTTATCAATTGAGAGAGAGAGAGAGAGAGACAGTGTGCGCCAGCAAGTGGGGGGAGGAGCAGAGGGAGAGGGATAAGCAGACTCCACACTGAGCATGGAGGCAGACACAAGGCTTGATCACACGACCCTGAGAACACGACCTGAGCCAAGACCAAGAGTCAGACGCTTAACCGACTGAGCCACCCAGGTGCCCCAGTATGAGTTAATTTTTAATTTAATATTGGTGGCACATGAAAATCTCTGTGGATAATATTTAGGAATTAACTTGTGCACAAGTTAAGTATGGCCCTATGTCTATAGAAAATTGTGGTATTTGAACAAACAGAAGTCTAAAATAGATAATTCATTGTTTCATTTTTATTTTCCCAAAGTAGTATTAGTATCATATGTTGTTTTGACTTTATTTTTGGTTAATATGTTATTCAGTGAGTTGGTTTGTCATCGTTGTTACTCTCATGTCTAGACGTTTGGAGACCTGGATTCTACTTTAAGCTGAAATCCTGAAAGCTGCCTGACTGTCGTTTCGGAAAAGAAATTTAATCTCTTTGGGATTGTCCACCTTTCTCCTTTTTTAAATGGAAGTTGGAATAGGATCACCTTTCATTGATTTGGTTGTGTTAAGAATGCATTGGGTGGGTAAAGCTAAAATTGTAAAATTAAGGTCTTTTTCCCTTCCCCTTGCATATTGCCTCCTTTGCACATCTTGCACAACTAAAGATAGTTTCACATGGCTAAAGATAAATTTAGGTTTCTAGTTCATGATATCCAGTGAGTGCAGCTTTTAAATTTGGATGCCCAGTTTGTCATGTTATATCCTTCTGAAGTTTAAGGACTAACCATCATCAGCCCCCATAACCTGAGGATAATAGAGCAAGTCTCCGGTTCCTTCCATCCCTGGGACTTTGTGTGATTGCTTCACCCTTGTTTCTCCTGGGGCTGTTGCTATGAGGTTGACAATGGAAACACAGAGTTGGGTGACCAAGTTGGAAGAAATGTGGTGCACAGAATTTTGCAATTGTTTGGCCAAAATAAAAAAGACTGGTGCGTTAGGCTGTTGCAGAAGATTTAGAGACCTGGCCTACATTTTATGTTTATAGTTCTTGGAAGGTAATAATTGAAAGGCAGGGGGAAGATAGTTATGGTCAAGATAGGACTCTCCCAAGGCCAGACAGGCCATTTGATCATTAGCCTCAGGGATAAACTCCAGCATCTTGTTCTCATCACTGGGTGGGGAGGAATGAGTAGGGAGTAGGGAAGAGAGTAGTGTGGCAGGAGCTGGCTGTGCAAACTCTAATGTTCTGGCATCATGGAAATTTGTCTAGCTTGGAAGGCAGTAGAGTATATACAGGGGTTCTTGTGCAGACTCTTTCACTCACTGGCTGTGACCTTGGCAAGGGTTATTTGTAAAGCAAGAATATCTACCTTAATATCTGTGAGTACTGAATGAGTTGACATATGGAAGGCATACTTCTTGGCTCAGAGTAGTGGTTCAATACTTAACAGTGTGTCATTGAATCTAAGTCACTATCTTTTATAAAATACACCATTATTTAAAAAAAATTTGTTGATTCTTATTTTTTTTTATTGTGGTAAGAACACAAGATAAAATCTATTTTCTTAACAAATCTTTTAATGTATAACACAGTATTTTTAACTTGAGGTGCAAATTGTACAACGGATCCCTTGAACGTTATTCATCTTGCATTACTGAAACTTTATTTATTTATTTATTTATTTTTTTGAGGAGGGGGTGGGCAAAGGGAGAGAGAGAGTCTCCCAGCGTGGAGCCTGATGTGGGGCTCGATCTCATAACCCTGAGATCATGACTTGAGCCAAATTCAAGAGTTGGATACCTAACTGACTGAGCCACCCAGGTGCCCTAAAACTTCATTAATAACAACTCCCCATTTCTCCCTTCCTCCAGCCCTGGGCAATCACCATTCTACTCTTTGCTTCTGTGAGTTTGAGTATTTTAGGTTCCTCATAGAAGTGGAATCATGCAGTATCTGTCCTTCTGTTACTGGCTTATTTCACTTTGCATAACGTCTTTGAGGATTATCCATATTGTATATGGAGGGATTTCCTTTTTTAAGGCTGAATAATATTCCATTATACATATATACCACATTTTCTTTATCCATTTATCTGTTGATGGGCATTTAGGTTGTATCTGCATCTCGGCTATTATGAAAAATGATGCAGTGAACATGGAGGCACTGATATCTCTTCAAGATCCTGATTTCAATTCTTTTGGATAAATACCCAGAAGTGGAGTTGTTGGATCATATAATAGTCCTATTTTTAATTTTTTGAGGAACCTCCATACTGTTGTTGGTAGCAGCTGTACCATTTTACAATCCCATGAACAGTGTACAAGGCTGTGAATATCTTTACATCTTCACCAACCTTTATTATCTCTTGTCCTTTGGATACTAGCCATTCTAACAGGTATGAGGTGATGTCTCATTGTGATTTTGATTTGCATTTTCCTGATGATTAGTGAGGTTGAACACCTTTTTATGTACCTGTTGGCCATTTGTATGTCTTTGGAGAAATGTCTATTCAAGTCCTTTGCTCATGTATTAATCTTACTATTTGTTTTTCTGCTATTGAGTTGTAGGAGTTCATCATGTCTTTTGGATACTAACCCCTTATCAGATATATGGTTTGTAAATATGTTCTTCCATTCGGTAGGTTGCTTCTTCATTTTGTTGATTATTT